ATGAAGAAATGCTCAGCATTAGAGAATTGCAAACCAAACCCACAATGACATAACATCTCACACCAGTCAGAATGGCTGTTACAGATATTGAGATTATGAACAATGAGACTATCTAAAATATCTTTGATACCAAATAAATTTTTAAAAGTAGAGAAATCAATAGATTAAACAGCAGATTGGAGACTGCTGGAAAAAGAATTAGTAAACTGGAAGGTAGAAGTGAAGAAATTTCTCAGAGTAGAACTCAAAGGGGAAAAGAGATAAACTATAAAAATAAAGATATATAGAGGATGGAATAAGAAAGACTAAACTTCATTGTATTTTGAGTCTAAAAATTATGGCACAGAAAGAATGGGGGTATATTTAATACCTGGGAGTTTTCCATAACTGATGTAAGATGTGAATCCACAAATAGCAGGGGAAACACAGTATATACTAAGCAAGATAAAAGAAATGCAGACACAGTCGTGAAATTGGAACATTGTAATAAAGATACCTTATAAGTAATCAAAGGGAAAAGAGAAGTCATTCATAAAGGAAAATTACTGGCTCCACAGCAATCTGGGAGCCAAAAACCTGAAGTGATATTTTCAAAATACTAAAAGAAAATAATATAAACATTGATTGATGTAGCCAGAGAAACTGACTTTCAAGAATGAGAGTGACTTTAAGATATTTATAATGAACAAAAACTGCCTTTACCACCAACAGACTTATACTTAAACTTTAAAAGATATATTTTAGAGAGAAGAGGTATCTGAGATATAAGAGAGAATGATGAAAAAGAAATTCATAAATACAGTTGACCCTTAAACATCATGGGTTTGAACTGCGTGAGTTCACTCATACACAGATTTTATTCTGCCTCTGCCATGTCTGAGACAGCAAGACCAACTCCTCCTCTTCAGCCTCCTCCTTAGCCTACTCAGTGTGAAAATAATGAGGATAAAGACCTTTATGATGATCTGCTTCTACTTAACAAATAGTAAATATATTTTCTCTTGTGATTTTCTTAATGACATTGTATTTTCTCTATTTTATCATAAGAATTCAGTGTGTAATACCTAATACATATAAAATATATGTTAATAGACCATATTATTGATGAGGTTCTGATCAACAGTAGCTATTGATAGTTAAGTTTTGGGGGAGTCAAAAGTTATACATGGATTTTTCTACTGCATTGGGGGTCAGCATTCCTAACTCTCATGTTGCTCAAGGGTCAACTGTATTTAAAATGCCTGCATAAAATTGATGTCTAATGTGTGTGATTAAGAAGAAAAAGCCAAAAGATGGGGAGAATAACAGCACATAAGTAGGGGAAGCTTATTGGAATTAAAAGTATTCTAAGATGCTCTAAAGAAAGAGTAGGATATTAACTTAGGCTTGTTAACTATTACTAATAAGAAGTTGAAAGTAACCTCTAAAACAGTGCAAATGGAACAAATAACTTTCTTAACTGGAGAGTAGGGAAATGGGAAAAAGAAGCATTAAAAAGTGAGTTAAACAGAAAACAAAAAGTAAGATTGCAGAAACAAGTCCAAATACAGGAATAAGTAATTGAACAACAAATATAAATGCACTAAACTCACTGGTTAGAAAAGACTATCACTTTGAATTTTTAAAAATTGTATTCCATGCTAAGCACACAAGATACCTAAAAAGATTGAAAGTAAGGGTATATAGAATATATACCAGACACCTTCTAACCCAAAGGAAGTTGAAATTATTGTTACTAACTTCAGAAGATACAGCCTTTAGGAAAGTAAATACTACAGATGATCAGATGAGAGAGAAATCCCTGGAGTTGGGAAGGTTATACAGAAGAGGTTGATTTTTTATTTGCACCTTGGAAGGATTCAACCTAAGTATGCAAAGAGTTGAGCAGCTAGTCAGTGAGTATGTATTGTCTTGGCATTGGAGATACACTGTTAAACAAAAATGCATGTCATATAAAGCTCTAAGTAGCTTATATTCTAATTTCTATTGGGGGCAGGTTACAGATAGAAAATAAATGTGGAAACAAATGTGAAGAAATGTAATTTCAGATACTGACAAGTGCTTCGAGAAGATAGGGCAATGTAATAAGGAGTGATTAGTGGTTGCTTTTAGCTAGGAAGCTCAGGGAGGGCCTCTGTAAGGCAACAACTGAGGTCTTGATGGAAATAATTCAAACCATGAGAAAATCTGTGAGAGCAGCGCACTAACAGAAGTGGCAGCTAATAAAAAGGCCCTGAGAAGGGAACATCACTGGCAAATTCAGAAATAAGGCTTATGAGACTAAAGCTTGGTGATTAGGGAGAAAGGAGAAGACTAGGTTGGTAAGAAATGAGACTGCATATGGCCATGTGAGTTTAGTTATATTGTAATGGAAAGTCATTGAGTGTTTTAAGCAGGGATCGTTTATAATTAAGAAAGATCTCTCTAGATACTTAGCAGAAAATGGTCTGTAGTGTGTCAAGAGAAAGGAGTTAGGAAGGCATTGTAGTAGTTGAAGCAAAAGTTGATATTTGGATTAGCAATTTTGGCCATGAAAATAGAAATGTTCAGACTCATGTATTATGGAGTAGAGCTAGTAAAACTTCCAGTACATTGGATGTGGCACTCAAAGGCAAGAAAGACAGGAAACTGAGTGGATGCTGTTGCCATTTAATTAGATGGATAAGGCATTTGCAAAGGAGAGATCAAAGTGTTTAAAGAAGAAAAGTAGTCTACCTTGTCAAATGTTGCTGAGACATTTTGTCTCAGAGAATTGACCATTATCTTTCATAAGCTATAGATAATTGATGACTTTAATAAGAGTCTAATAAGACTTTAATAAGCCTATTTGGAATGAGTTGACAGACAATGAGAAGAGATAGTACAGATGATTCTTGAGAACTTTCACTATGAAGGGAAGCAGAGAAATGAGGTGGTAGCTAGAAGATGGCCCAAACGAGATGTTTTAAATAAAGGCAATACATCAGTCAGGGTCCTGGTAGTAAACAGACAACACACTCAGATTGGTAAATTGGATTATTTACAAAGTTGTTGGCAGAGTAAGTGAGACCATAAGAAGAGCACAGTGCCCAGGGGAGAATCTAGAGATGAACTGTGGGTTAGAGGGCTGCTTTACAGGAGATGGGACTTTCACTCTAGGGACACAGCCGACCCATGACAACCATCCCATGGTGACCCTGTATCCCGGCCCGCGGGATCGTCACTGCAGGCCCTGGAAGAGGGGGTGGGAATTTGGGGAACAAGAGATACGAGAAATGGAGACAAGACAGTGCTCTGATCAAGTCCCTTTTAATGGCGGTAATGCAGTGCCTTATATACACTTGGAGGGGAAGGGGTTGGGCCAAGGCGAAAATGATCTCATCGCGGAGGGTGTGGCCAGGTAGGTATTGGTAGCGTGGTCGAACGTCATGTGGCGCCTGCGCTGTCAGGTAGCAATTTTCGCGGGCGCGGGAAAAATGGGTGAAGAAGAAGCAGGAAGAGCGCCATCTTTTATGAGGTATTAATACAGGGGAAAAGGCAAAGATAGGGAGGAGGTGTAAAGCTCAGGCGTTTTTAATCGTCAATTATTATTCGCTATGGCCGGGGCGTGCAGCTCCGGACAACCCTGCAGGTGGGGACCTGAGGGAACAAGTACCCCAACTTCACTCTGTCTTCTTTTCTGCTAGTGCTTTCTATTAACTGAACCCAGTCAGAAGGCAAAGGAGTCTAGTTGATATAGTCCTTCAGAATTGGCCTCTGAGGGCATAGAGCAAAGTGGGGAAGAATGGCAAATCAGTGCCAGTGATGTTAGTCTGTGTTGTTATACTGATAGGAATGTTTTAGTAGAGAGGGAGAAATGGATGATACAGGGGAGAGAAGAAAAAACTTTAATAACCATGTCCTTGACAAGGTTATGAGAGGGGATGGGATGTAGGACTCAAATGAAGGGGTTGGCCTTGGTCAAGTGTAGTTGCAGGCAAATTGGCAGAATTTACATTGGGACAGTGAATCTGTTATCTGGGTGCATCTGTTTTTTCACTGAAGTGTGTAGCAAGGTTATAGCTGGGAATTATGCTGCGAAGGAGGTGTTACAGATTTGAGGAATAAGGAGGTTTGAAATACAGTTGTCTTGAAGTGTAGAGAAGTAAGTGAACTATAGAAATGTTGTGGGACTGTCCATGGTATTGAGTGTCCTTTTGAGATTTGTGGTCATAAACTTGAAGTATATCCAGTCAGCACATTTGTTTGATTTTTCTCCTGCAGCTTTTGTTGCTCAGGGGCAAACACTAAGTGGTTGAGCAGGGGTACTTTCTGGGTGTGCAGGGTTACTGTAAGCAGAGGAAGAGAAAGGAATGCTATATTAAATATATACATATATGTATATATGACATAAGAGCTAGGCTGAATGAGTGCTGATAGACATGTCTTAGAAGTAATGGTTGTGGTTTTAGATAAAAGCATAATACATGCTTATTGACATTTGCCTCTTTCATATAACATGACACAAATTTTACTGATTATTTGAAGTTTCATGTTAATGAAGCTTCTATTCTGCTATAAAGTATTATCTAGATGTATTTTATTTTCATTTATTCTTGGGATGTTTGATAGTAAATAAGATTTTTAGTATTTGGATTATTAAACTAGAATGGTAATATTGTATTAGTAAACGTGTTACTCTTGGATTCATGTTCATTAGTCTATCCTGTCAGGTCAAGGAAAGTGAAATTGTTTTCCAGTTATATAAAAATTCTGTTGGTCATCAGCCACCACCATATATGTTTGTGCATGTTACACTAGATGCATGGTACACTACACATACCAGGGATATTCTCATTGTAATCTTACGTCATTGATGTTCTCTAGAGTTCTTAAATGTAAAATCAGTACTACTGTAAGTGTCAGTCCTGAGTCATCAAGTCTGATTTTAACTATTGAAGCAGGTCTGTAAATATATTTAACATATAAACGTCACCTAAATAGGCAATCCTGATTACCTTACTGTTTTCTTTTGCCTACAGCCTCAAGACATTCAGAAGACAGTACTAAAGGGAATCATTAACAGCCTGTTACGAGAATGGAAAGGGTAAACTAATATTTTAAATGTTTAGCTAATCAGTATAGAAGTCTAACTTACACATTGTATGTCTTTAACATATGTGTATCTATTTTACTCTCAGAAAAGATTTTAGTTGAGTTATAATAACATAGATGAAAAAATAATTATAAGCCATTTACAACAAAGCTGTATAACTTGAGATTTGTGACCTCTCAGTAGGATCTATAGATGGGCATAAAAAGATCTGTGAATACTTTTAAATTGTATGTAAAGTTTTTTCTGTTCAGATATATATGCTTTACAAAAACGGAATGGGTACTTACATTGGTAACCTAACTGAAATAATGAGCATTAAATTTAGCCTTGGGCTTCCTGGTAGCCAGAGTGAAATTTTTCTTATTTCTAATATAGGGACACCTAAGGCCAGCTACTAAAATGTTTTTTTCTGTCAGAACTAAATATTAGATTCTTATATAAGGAATCATGGGCAATTTAGTTGATGATGTTTTGAACCATGAATATGCATAATATAAAAATGTACTTTTAAAAATACGTATTTAAATTTATATTAAAAGTATATTATTTAAATAAATTCTATTAAAGCCAAAGGAATGCCAAGTCTAGTTTAAAAGTAATACCTAAGTAGAATTCTTAAATGTAATGTTACATATACCCTATATATATTTTAATAATATTTTAATTGTTCTGATTTTGAAAGAAATTCATGCTTATTATAGAACATTTAGAGAAGGCAGAGAAGCATAAGGAAGAAAGTATTGGCCAGGTGCGGTGGCTCACGCCTGTAATCCCAGCACTTCGGGAGGCCAAGGCGGGCGGATCATAAGGTCAGGAGATCGAGACCATCCTGGCTAACACAGTGAAACCCCGTCTCTACTAAAAATGCAAAAAAATTAGCCGGGCGCGGTGGTGGGCACCTGTAGTCTCAGCTACTCAGGAGGCTGAGGCAGGAGAATGGCGTGAACCCAGGAGGCGGAGCTTGCAGTGAGCCGAGATCGCGCCATTGCACTCCAGCCTGGGCGACAGAGTCTCAAAAAAAAAAAAAAAGATATCAGTCTGGCCAACATGGTGAAACCCCATTTCTACTAAAAATACAAAAATTAGCCAGACATGGTTGCACAGTCCTGTAATCCCAGCTTACTCAGAAGGCTGAGGCCGGAGAATCGTTTGAATCCTGGAGGCAGAGGTTGCAGTAAGCCAAAATCATGCCACTGCACTCCAGCCTGTTGAGCTGTTGAGAATTTCTGTCTACTGCCTTCACTTTTTATATAGCACATTCCTATTATTGGTTTTTTATATATATCAAAGATGGTGACTGGATTTGCTTAGACACTACTATTTTAATGTATGTCTTTTTATTTTCTATTTGTAAATTCATAAATTTCAGAATCCATAGTGACACACTGTCTCAAAAAAAAAGAAGAAAGTAAAAAATGTTAACATTTTACAGTGTTTTTTTAGTCGTCTTTTAAAAACAATTAAAATCGTACTGTATAGTTTCATGTGACGTTTAACTTAATGGTCTTTTTCTTAGTTTATTACTCTAGTAATTTGTTTGCATTTTCCTTCTTAAACCACATTTTAATGTCTGACTAATAACTTAGGAATGTACTGTAATTTACCTAACCATTCTCCAAGAATGGTTGTTTATGTGAATAATTCCACAGTGAACATTTTGTACAAAAATATTCTTTTCTGAGCACTTATATAAAAATTTTTTTGGAAATATAATTACTGTATCAGAGTATAAACATTTTAAGACACTTAATACATTTTGTCAGATTTCTTTACAAAGCATTTATGATAATGTACACTTCTAACAGCAGAGGGCCTGAGACTTCAGTGGTATCTCCTTATAACAAAACTTGGCCTAATTTAATAAATGAAAAGTGGATCTCATTTTTATATACTTTTCCTTAATACTAATAAGCTTAACATTTTATTATTTGTTTGCTATTTTTATTTATCCTTTTGTAAGTTTTCCACATACTTTTGCCATTTTTTATTGCAGATTTGCCTGTTTTTCTGTTAGAAACTCTTGCTTATTATAAGAAAATTGACCTTTTTGTATTATATTTTCCTATATCTCACGTTTCAGAAAATCAATTACTAGCCTCACAAAGAAGAAACCCCTGTTACATCTCAGTTAAGTGTCTGAGGACTGAAGGGTTAAGGCCAAACTGGGAGTTAGCTGCTTCCTGAATATTATAGTAAAAATATCATTTTTAAAAAATCTAAGAAATCAGACCTACTCATACAATTTATTGTGCATGCCTGATAATTTATGCACGCATAAATGACCTTGCCAAGATTATGAAGCTCTAGGTAGGACAGGAAAGGACTTGGAGGAATAGATGATATATACAAATAGATCTTGAGCAGGCAAGAAAGAAACACTCGTCAGCATGGAGAATAACAAAAGCTTTAATATCTGGGTTTTGTTTTTCAACCCAGGACCCAGTTAGGAATCATGAATTGCATCTGGTTGTCATAGAGGTGAACCATTTTCAATTCAAGAAGTTACTTCCAGATATCTGTGAGAATGTACCAAATAGATCTTGAGCCGGCAAGAAACACTCATTAGCCTTGAGAATAACAAAAGCTCTTGGTCAAATCTGATACTATGAGAATTCATATTAAGATGGAAAAAATTACTTACTTTTCATTATTCTTTCCGTTAGAAGCATACTGAATGCATTTAAAGTATGATTTGATTTACAGACATTTCTACATCACTTGAGGAATGAACCTAGAAACACAAGCTCATTTTCTTTCTTTAATACATAAATGTTCTTAAGATTATCCTTTATTAAAACAAAACATAAGTATTCTAAATTCTAAAAGTGATGATTTTTTTATTACACTCCTAACTACTTCCAGAATTAATCATATTTACCTCACAAAATGTTATAGCCTAGTTAGCTCAGTCTTTAGTTATCTTCGGAACCAGCCTAGAAGAGGCACAGAAGCACCTGTATTTTCAGCATATTATGGACTGTCTCAATAATAATGCATATTAATTTTATCCTAGTTTTTGGCTTTTCTCAACTCAGTCTTCATGGAAACATTTATTGGTCTTTTTCATTAGATGCTATGAGATTAAACTTTCATCCATAATAAATTATTCTTGTTTCTTTTTCAGTCCACGAACAAAAGATGATCTTAGAGCATATTTTATACTTTTACAGGTAAGAGAGCTAGAACTTAGTTGAAGTTGTCTAAGTCAGATCTCAATCTCTACATGTGTATGTGAAATGATATTAAATATTAAATATCATTTTGGGCAACATTATTGATTCTTTTTAGAATTATAGTTACCTGTAACCAGAAGATTTTTTAAAAAGTAAGATTAGTAAGATTAAAAGATTAGTAGGATTTTAAAAAGTAAGAAAAATAAGATTAAAGCCATAACAAATAAGTAATCCGAAGCTAAATTACATGTGAGATTAAAATTTTGATATAGTTCCTGCCAGAGTATTCAGGAACAAACAGAATGGAAGCATTTCTTTCTCCTCCATTCAGACCTCTTTCTTGTAACTAGTTTTAACAGGCTTCAGGATTTTCTTTTATTTTCCCATCTAGTAGGTTTTTCACTTTGCTATGTATTTTTCAATAATTTCAATTAGAATTCTTATGGAAAGATAAAAGGTTTTCTTTTAATTTGTTATAAAGCAAAGGTAATGAACTTTTTTCTCTCAATAGATACAGATTAATAGATTCAAAAAGAAATTAAGATCCAGACAAATGAAAAGCAATTTTTACTTTTTATTATTTTTTGAGGAAGAAATACATTATTACCATAGCTAGCATACTATGAATACATTGCATTATTCTTTACAATTTATAAAATTTGTCCATGTATATTATCTCATTTAAAAGTAAGGAAAACGATATTAAATAAGTATAGTGTTTAGTACAATATTATAATATCAATATGTCTAATGAAAGAACATGTACAGGGTAGGGATAGAGAAAGTGAGGAAAGATAAAGTCACCACAAACATGGAATTAATAAATGCAGAACCATTGCTTCAAGGGGAAATACAGGGTTAGGTTCACGTGAGCCTCTGATCACATTTTTGTCAACCAATCAATATATAACTTTGCTTTATGAGTGTTTTTTTAAAGACATACTTCATTTAATAGAAGTCATTGATTCATTATCATTGAACTCATGGCTAGCAGTACTGTAACTCATGCCTGAATGAAGCTTTTCTAACATACATATATTTTCTCTATAGGGCACATCACAACCTTCTTGTTAGGAACACTAGACAGCATTTTAGCACTACACTTGGCCGTTTTGAAATAGCAAATCACCAACAAAAAGCACCAAAATGTGAAAAACGAAGCTAAATGGATTGCATAAAGGACACTTGCAAAGAGAGAGTATTGAGCTAAAACAAGGCAGGACATCACTTTGACCTCAACTGGGAATGTGCACGTCAGGAGACTTAACATTTTTCACATGTCCCCAAATGACCATGAAAACACAAGTATTGATTTGGGGATTAACAATTAAATTTTAGCAAGTAGGCAAATTTGGAAATACAGAATCTGTGAATAATGAAGACTGACTGAATATTGAAAGTCTTTAAAATGTTTGTTA